AAACTTTTTGATTTGATTTGCGAGTTCACATTGTGTGAGAATTTAAATGCATGAAACCAGTTATTTTTAGTGGAAACGCACTGCTAGTGCTTCGACCAGAAGAGCTTGGATTTTTGCGGTACTTACGAGCTGCTAAAGTAGTCCTCAATGAATTTGAGTTCTCATGGTCAAAGGTATGTTTTGCGAATCCAGATACATTCATACCATTGTATATCCGTTTTTTTTTTCAATAATCTTATCTGACAATTTACAGATCGCCAATATTCAATCCCAACTAGAAAATCTCATAGATAAGAACTACTATTTAAATAAATCAGCTAAAGAAGCATACAAATGTTATGTGAGAGCATATGATTCACATTCATTGAAGGTACGAACAGAAGTGGTAGTTCATCAGCAGGAAAGTTAATTTATAATTTCTAGGATATTTTTGATGTGAACAATTTGGACTTAGTGGCAGTATGCAAATCCTTTGGTTTTTCTGTGCCGCCATTCGTAGATCTGCCAATATCACACAAACCGAAGGTATGCTTGTTTGTTTTGATCATTTTTTTATTTTCTTTGAGAATTGTTCTGAAAATGAGTGTATAGGCTGGTGAACTTGACGTTAATATTCTGTTATTGCAGTACCAGCATGTGCCGACAATATTTGCGCGTGGACGTTTCGCCATCATAGGTGTAGCGATTTGTTCACGCGCAAAAGTTGTCAACGAATGTTGGCACTGCAAAAACACGGTTCCCAACGTCAGATCTATTAGCTTATACGCCTTTCGTAATAGTTTGCTTTTAACAAACTTGCTTTTGCTTATTGGCCTATAAATAGACATTAAATTTAGGTGCAAGTGAGGTCACAGTTATCAGGAGCTGGATATCGAAAACGACCGAAAGCGTTCACATTCAAACAAAAACCGAAGCATTGAGCATGACTGATCCGTCTACTTCCACTGTTGTGCTGTTCTAGGCCAATGTTGCTTGGTCTGGACCGTTGTTATCCCTTGTTTGGCTGTTTATTGTTGAACATCATCTGTCATCTGAAACCTCGTCATAAAACATTTTGTTGAGTTGCGAAGTCAGGTTGAATCAGTCGTTTGTTGTTAATATAAATAGTTTATTATAAAGACATGTGGCAAATTGCCAAATTGCGCGGGTTTGTGGACGTATAGTCTGTGTCAAAACATACTGGTTTCTCTACTGTAAAAATTCGCTCGTTAGATAGGTGCCAGACTTGTCCGATTGGCTACTTTAGCAATATGCGGCGGTGAACTGATGTCATTTGACGTCATGTTGGACGGAAATCGAAGTGGCATCCGCGGCTCGGCAACAATAGCAGTGTTGAGGAAATGAGAAAGACTTCGCAAATGAGAGAAACAGTGAAAA